TATGCTAAGCTAACGGATGGGTCATGTCCATCACATAATTCTCCTAATGATGTGATCCCATTCATCAAATGACAACACATGTCTATGGTCAGGAAACTTAACCATCTTTGATTAACGTGCTAGTCAAGTAGAGGCATACTAGGGACACTTTGTTTTGTCTATGTATTCACTTCATGTATCAAGTTTCTGGTTAATACAATTCTAGCATGAATAATAAACATTTATAATGATATAAGGAAATATAAATAACAACTTTATTATTGCCTCTAGGGCATATTTCCTTCACCCTCTCCCTCCTTTATATACGGGGGCAGGGGGCACCTCTAAGACAAATCAATTGTTCTTAGTCGTGTGCGGTGCCCCCCTCCACCATTTACTCCTCCGGTCATATTGTCATAGTGCTTAGGTGAAGCCATGTGCGGATTACTTCACCATCACCATCACCACGCCGTCGTGCTGACGACACTCTCCCTCGACACTTTGTTGGATCAAGAGTTCAAGGGGCGTCATCGAGCTGAACGTGTGCAGAACTCGGAGGTGCTGTACGTTTAGTAATTGATAGGTTGAATCGAGAAGACGTTCGACTACATCAACCTCGTTAAGCTAATGCTTTCGCTTTCGGTCTACGAGGGTACGTGGACACACTCTCCCTCTCTCGTTGCTATGCATCTCCTAGATAGATCTTGCGTGATCGTAGGAAATTTTTTGAAATTGCTTGCTACGTTCCCAACAGGTGGGAGGGAATGGGAGAGGCCAAGAGGCGCCCCAAGTAGGACCGAATCCTACTTGGGCTCCTCCCTATCCGCGCGCCCCCAGCCATATATGTCGGAGGGGGGAGGAAAGAGAGGGGGAGAGGCAAGGATGGGGGAATCCTATTCCTCTCTTTCCTTTCCCTTCACCTCTTTCTTTCTCCTCCTTGGCCGGCCCCTATGGGGGGCGCACCAGCCCCTTCTGGCTGGTGCATTTCCCCTCTTGGCACATAAGGCCCGTATCTTTTGCCGGGGGTGCCCGGAACCCCTTCTGGTGACCCGATAAGTACCCGGTACCCCCCGAAACACTTCCGGTGTCCGAATACTATCGTCCTATATATCAATCTTTACCTCTCGAGCATTTCGAGACTCCTCGTCATGTCCGTGATCTCATTCGGGACTCTGAACACCATTCGGTCACCAAATCACATAATTCATATAATACTATATTGTCATTGAATGTTAAGCGTGTGGACCCTACGGGTTCGAGAACTTTGTAGACATGACCGAGACACGTCTCTGGTCAATAACCAATAGCGGAACCTGGATTCCCATATTGGCTCCTACATATTCTATGAAGATCTTTATGGTCGAACCATTATGAAAACATATGTAATTCCCTTTGTCTATCGGTGTGTTACTTGCCCGAGATTCGATCGTCAGTATCATCATACCTAGTTCAATCCCTTTGCCGGCAAGTCTCTTTACTCGTTCTGTAATACATCACCTCGTGACTAACCCCTTAGTTGTTTGCTTGCAAGCTTATGATGTGTTTTACCAAGTGGGCCCAGAGATACCTCTCTGATACTCGGAGTGACAAATCCTAATCTCGATCTATTCCAACTCAACAAACACCTTCGGAGATACCTAGAGCATCTTTATAATCACCAAGTTACGTTGTGACGTTTGTTACTACACAAGGCATTCCTCCCGTATCCGGGAGTTGCATATTCTCATATTTGAAGGAATATGTATTTGATATGAAGAAAGCAATAGCAATAAAACTGAACGATCATTATGCTAAGCTAACGGATGGGTCTTCTCCATCACATCATTCTTCTAATGATGTTATCCCGTTATCAAATGAAAACTCATGTCCATGGTTAGGAAACCTTAACCATCTTTCATTAACGAGCTAGTGTAGTAGAGGCTCACTAGGGACATGGTGTTTGTTTATGTATTCACACATGTATTAAGGTTTCCGATGAATAAAATTCTAGCATGAATAATAAACCTTTATCATGAATAAGGAAATATAAAATAACAACTTTATTATTGCCTCTAGGGAATATTTTCTTCAATGTTGTCACACCGAGAGGGCGCTAAGAATATCTCTCCATCGTTAGAGGAGAAAATCCCACTCTCGAGGTATCTAGTCCCTTGTCAAACTTTTCGATGAAACTGTAAGTTGTCGTTATGATCACCGTGTTACAGATGGAATTTGAGAAACCCCAAAGTCCACCATACAGTATGAAGTGGCTACGATACTCTCATGGTCCAAGGAACTAAAAATATATGCTAATAATCTGTGTTATAACAATTGATTTCAGCCGACATTATCTCAAGGTATAACAAACAAGATTGGGTCGATTCAATATGATCGTTCTTCTAACATCATACTCTCAACTTGACTTAGGACTATCGTTACTCTTTACAATATCCTAAGATCTGGAAAACATGATCAACAACAACACTTGACCACTCCTAGAGGCAAGACTGGGAACCTATACTTTACTATTTTATCATTCCACATGTGCATATGAGTTTTTCACTGAATCACATATTCGAGTACCATAGCAGTTATAACATGAAATATAAAATATTAATTATGAAAATAGAAATATAATAATACCATATTATTGCCTCTAGGGCATATTTCCAACATATCGTTACACTTGACTATATCATAAGATCCAAAAAAATGATCGTCAACAACACTTGATCCATTCTTAGAGGCTAGACTAGGAACATATTATTTACTACTCCCTAATATGAGTTTCACACGTCAAAAACATGATCAGCAACAACACTTGAGTATTTATCATTTCACACGTGCATATGAGTTTTCCACTGAATCACATATTCCAGAATCATAGCAGTTATAGCATGAAATATAAACTCTTAATTATGAAAATAAAAATATAATAATACCATATTGTTGCCTTTAGGGCATATTTCCAACATATCGTTACACTTGACTATATCATAAGATCCGAAAAAATGATCGTCAACAATACTTGAGCCAGACTTGGAGGCAAGAATAGGAACCTATTATTTACTACTCCCTAATATGAGTTTCGCACATCAAAAACATGATCAGCAACAACACTTGAGTATTTATCATTTCACACGTGCATATGAGTTTTCCACTGAATCACATATTCCAGAATCATAGCAGTTATAGAATGAAATATAAACTCTTAATTATCAAAATAAAAATACAATAATACAATATTATTTCCTCTAGGGAATATTTCAACAAAAAAACATGTTTCTTTTTTAATCTTCTGTGAGAGGTACAAATTTGCTTCTGAGAAAGTAAAAAAAGTGTATTTTTGCTTCCGCGAGAGACACATATTTGCCTCCTATGGAGGGACAAGTTTGCTTCCATGAGAGGCACAACTATACCAGAACCATGCTTCCGATTCAATTTTTTTCGTCTGATTTTTCTTTGTTTTTTCGTGAAAAGGCTATCAAAATCTATTAACATGGTATTTAGTTTCAAAGATCTTGACGTGAGAAATCCAATGGTGAAAAGGGTTCAAAATTTAGACACACGGTTTAAGAGATAAAAATATTTTGAATAAAAGAATCTACCAAAAAAGGAAAAAAACAACGAGGTTGTGACAAGTGACTCACTGCATGTGCATCATTTGTCGCAACCTTGGAAGATGGAATGATCTTTACAAGAAGTACTTTTTTGTGAGAAAAACAAGAAGTACTCCTTGGGTAGTGATTTTGGGATGGCTTCTTTTGTTGTGAAGCAGGCTCAAAAGGCCGGGCGGCGAGCCCATCCGAGTCTGTCCATCAAGAAGAGCTACAAAAAGTAAGGCAGCGAAATCACTAATTAAGGAGTACTCATTGCAAAAGAACACTCCACTTTCCCAGGTCGCGACAGGTGGCGCACATGCAGCGCGTCATTTGTCGCAACCTGGGAGTTTTCCCTTTTTTCGTAGATCCGTTTATTCAAAACGTTGTATCTCTTAAACCGTGCATCCAAATCTTGAACCGTTTTCATCATTGGATTCCTCGCGTCGAGATCTTCAAATATAGATCCCAAGTCGAACTTTTTTCATGAAAAAACCAGACGAAAAAAACCGGGTGAAAAAACCGAACCAGGAGCACGGTTTTTTCCCTTTCCGAAAGAGGCACGCCCGTTCCTCTCGCAAAATCACAACCGTGCCTCTCGTGGATGCAAAACCGTGACTCTCGTGTAAGGAAAAAAAATAGAAAACACATTTTTTTTTCATTTCCAAGAGGTACAACCGTAACTCTCGCGAAAGGAAAATCGTGACTCTCGCGAAAGAAAAAAAATAGAAAACGCGTATTTTTTTCCCTTTCCGAGAGGCACGGCCGTGACTTTCACGTAAGCACAACCGTGCCTCTCGTGGAAGCAAAACCGTGACTCTCACGAACGAAAAAAAAAACAGAAAACAAGTTTTGTTTTTCCCTTTTTGAGAGGGACGGCCGTGACTCTCGCGAAAGCACAACCGTGCCTCTCGCGAAAGCAAAACCGGGAATCTCGCGAAAGAAAAAAACAAAAAACGCGTTTTTTTTCGTTTCCGAGAGGCACGGCCGTGACTCTCACTAAAGCACAACCGTGCCTCTCCCGGAAGAAAACCCGTGACTTTCACGAAAGAAAAAAAAAGAAAACACGTTTTTTCGCGAAAAAAATCGAAAAAAAAAATTTGATCGAAAAGCTAAGAAAGACCGGGGGAAAACCAAAACGTCGAAAAAACCCGTTTAAAAGCCCAAAAATGTGTGTGGAAAAATAAAAAAATAAAATCCGAAGGGAACGTCCAGAGCGCGACACGTGGCGAATGGCTGAGAGCGCGCCAAATGGCACTGATCATTGCGAGGCTCCCGAAGGAGCGCTCGTTAACTAGGTGCTCCCGAAAGGCAGCGGCTCTCGGCTGCCACAACAAAGACGAGGCCCCGGATCGATAGAGGAAGCAAGCAGGTGCACCCAAACCCTAGCCGACGCCCCCTCCTCCTCCTCCGGATTCTTGCGGCGTGCGACGTGTCGGTGCCATGGCGCTGCGCTCTCCCTCCAGCACTTCACGGAGGAATCTGGGACCCCCTTATTCGCCGCCGGCGGACTCTCTGCCTCCCACCTCTCAGGTACCTAATTCCGCTCTCATTCATTCGATCCACCTACTATGCCTGCAATTCGCTGCCTGACTGCCTTGTTCTGACTTTTATCACCAAATTAACCCCATCAAACAGGTTTTATGCTAGTAACAAATCAAATTATATGATGCGCCCCTGACCTTTTTCACAGACAGTAAGAGAGATATAAATTTGCCTAATAATGGTGAATATTGCCACTGAAATATGTACAATAAGTGCCGGATTGCAGAGTCTATCTTTGATTCATGTGCTAAATCTTTTACTCTTGCTTGAAAAAGTGGTGATAATTACTCAATGGTTGGGCTTGGTCCCTGGCCCCGCTCGCACATTCACTACAATGTGGATTTGATGAACCCCTTTTATATGCACATAAATCTAAGATGAAAATTTTGGTACTTTTGCGCAGCAGTTTGAAAATTTTTGTGCTTTTGCAGAGTAGAGTGGTTTTTTACTGAAGCAATCTGTAGTGGTTGGGCTCGGCCCTGGCCCGCTCGCACATTGACTACACATCGGATATGATGAACCGTTAATTCCATGATATGTGGGTGTTTGTGTAACATCCCAAATTTTCAATTCGGAATGTTATACACTAGATCATCATTGCATTTCATATTTATTGTATTTTGGCTGATCCTAGAAATTTTTCGCAACTCAAGGACCCTTGAAGAGAGTTGGGGATTTCGTTATTTTCATATTTGAGTTGACTCAAATTTTGAAAATAGGATCTTTTGATTTTATTTATTTCATCTTCAATTATTTCTATTACAAAAATATGAGAGAGGGAATAAAATGACTTTCCCAAAAATAAAGAAATATTGAGGATTTAATAAAAAAATCAAATAAGATTTTATTTGGTTTTATTTGCTATTTTATTTGAATTTAGGAAAACATGTGCATTTTTCAAAATTGCGATTAGGCCCCAAATAAATGTTCACTTCGTCCGGCTTGATTTTCGAACTCGGGGAAAATTTATTTCGGGATTTTTGGAGTCCGTTTAGTATTTCTTTCATTAGTTTTTTTGTGCGGAATTAATTTTTAAAAAATTCCGAACCGACTCCGGGCCGTACCCGAGCGGGACTCCGCCCCGGGGGGGCTTTATAAGCTGCCCGCCCGAGCCGCCGAAGCCCACCAGCGCCTCAGCCCCACAGCCCGCCCGCGCGCCCCAAACCCTAGCGCCGCCGCCGCCGCGCCGCCTCGCCGCCGCCCGCGCCTCGCCGCCGACCCCACCGCGCCGCCTCACCGCCGACCCCGCCGTCCCGCCGCCCGAGGTAGCCGCCGTATCCGGCGGTTTTCCTCAGAAAACAGCTCGGTTTTTTAAAAAAAAAACCACGGTTTTTTTCTTTTTTTAGATCCGTTTTTTTGTTAGAACGGTTTTTTTTCGGTTTAGTTATTTAGCGAGCGTTCGCTCGTTGGTTCGTTTTAACGAACATGTTCGTCGTTTAGATCCAGTTAACGAACGTTCGTTCGTTAATTTGTTCGTCGTTTTTCTTTTTCTCGGATTTTCCGCGATTATTTCTGATCGTGATTTCTGATCTGATTTTCGTTTTAGTATAACTTCTCGCTTGTTTATCGGAATCGGGCGATTCAAGCGCCTGGAGTTTCGTCTCGAAACCCTCTTTCCGTTTAACCAACTTAAACAAGTTTTTGCTTCTGTAAAAATTGCCTTAGATCCAGAATAGTAAAGGAAGCCTGTTTCTTTTGCTGTTTGTCTTTCGTTGCTTCGTTCGATTGGATTCTTTTGCCAACCGGGGTTCTTAAGTTGAACTTTCTGGTTAGATCTCTTATTGGAGTTTTACCTGTGCATTAGATGAGTACTTATTGTGTGCTTGTTTGTTTGCGATAGAGTACCCGGAGTGCGCCGCTTGTTACTTCGAATCGCTAGGTTTCCCGGATCATCAGCAAGACAAGTAACACTTTGATCATACCTCCTACCACTCGGTTTTATTGCATTAGATCAATCCTTACACATTGCATGATTAGGATCTAACTAAATCAAGGGTTTGGGAAGTAGTTGAGGTAGTACCTATTACCTGTTTATTATCAAACCTTTGGGAGTTACTTCTACGTTGCTTATTATGCCATGCTATGCTAGTAGACGTGGATTGGGTGAGTGTATCCATGACAGATGTGAGTTGGTTAATTAATGGTTTATTTAAGGTGGCAACTTAAACACACTTCTGGGTGGATTGAGGTACCTGGGTATTCCAGGATTACCTGTTTTCTTTTGGACCGCCACTCAGGTTCAAATGGATCATGAGATTATTCATACTAGAAACTTCCGTGTGCAGCCACAAGCTATTACGGGCTCTAGCGTAGTTGACTAAGTCGTGCGAACTCTTACAATGATAGACTAGCAGATGTAGGGGATGTAGGTGGTATGGTCTACCCATCGTAAGGTGCCAGCGCTTCTGAAAGACTATGTCTCGGTCATCCATTTCTCAAACACCGTGTAGTGCGAGAAACCAAACGGAGGCGATCGAGTCTTGTGGGGAAAAATGCGCAAACCTCTGCAGAGTGTATAAACTAATCATGGTTAGCCGTGTCCCCGGTTATGGACATCTTGAGTATCTAGTACCTGGATTATCATGTGAATCTCAACATGTTACTATAAAATTTAATTTGATGGGTTTGTTTAATGATGATGTTTACTTGGGATTGAGGATGCTGTCAACCATTCTTAATGTTTAACAACCACCATGATAGTTAAATAAATTTATTCCTTTGTAGTAGGGAAAAATTAGCTTTTTGCAAAACTATAACCATAGAGCTTTCCACCAGCCAAATATGCATGTAGAATAACTATTTCTTTCCATTACTCTCTATGTGTTACATTGCCAGCATATTCCATGTGCTGACCCGTTTCGGGCTGCAACGTTAATGTTGCAGACTTTTCAGACGATGATTAAGGAGTTTTAGGTTGTGGTTCTATACTCAGTGATGCCGTTGGAGTTAATGGAGTTACTTATCTTCCAAGCCTTCCGCTGTTATCGTTATTAGATGGCCTTAAGCCATATTTATTGTAATAAGTTCTCTATTGAGACACTCGATGTAATAAGTGTGTGATTGCTACTGTGTTATAAATCCCTCAAGTACTGTGTGGTGTCAGCATTAGTGATCCAGGGATGACACCGGGGCACAGAGATTGGACCGTTTGAGGTCTGGTCGCTATAGTTTGATTTACTTTGAGTGAAGAAGAGTATGCCATCCTTACGTTTTAGTTTCCCTTAGTGACTTTTTGTGGTTCTTCTGCTGTACTGTTGTTAAACCATTTCCCAAACCTACTCTAGTAGTATAAATTTGATAGCTTTAGACATACTGGTGACCAATTTTCTGAAGCCATGCTCATTGCCACCTCGCCACCTAGCGCAACCAAGGGCGACATCCCGCTGCGCCAACGCCACCCCCCGTCGAAGAGGAGTGGCCTTCACTCCAGCTATGGCCGCCGCCACCCACGACACCCGCAGATCGGCCAGATCGGATGCACCCGACCTAGCCCACGCCACCACAAGATTGGCCTCGCAGCCGAGCCCCAGCCGCCACCACTACAGGGCCGCGCCGCCGCCTCCCAACACAGCAGCAACCAGATCCACGCGTCCCCGCCACCG